AAAATTCCCAGAGGGGGAAAAAAAAAAAAAAAAAAAAAAAAAAAAAATCAGCTGAACAAAACAAAATGGGGAGTGTTTGGCTACACATCACTGCTGTGCAAAAGGGGAGCAGAGCAGTCTGACGGCAGCACTGTCCTGTAAAGAGACAAACGTCGGTTCAGGATCCACGCCATGGAGGCAAGTCTTACATCCATAGTGCTCGCAAGGTCTCAGCCTCTTGCTATGTCCCACTTTTTGGTGTGGTTTGGGGTTGTGGGTTTTTTTTGTTGTTGAAAATGCAACTGGGAGAAACCAGATAAATGGCAAAAAAATGGTAAAAAGCTATACATGCCAGGTTTTTCTTTTACTTGTCTATTTAAAAAAAAAAAAAAAAGTCTTAGCAGGGAGACCAGGGCTTTACCACGCACCAGCAGGTTCCCGTAGGTTGCAATCACTTTTTCTTGTCCCAAGGGCAGGACAAGCACTAAAACAAGCTTAGGTGGCAGGAGACAAAGTCCAAGCTGCAGGTGGTGTGTCCCGAGACAGGCGGTGGAGGGAGAGCGCAAAATCGTCCACAGTGGAGGTTTTGAAGACCAGGTTAGACAAATGGATAATCTGAATAATTTGGTCCCAGCTCTGAGCAGAGGCAGGCAGAAACACAGGACTGAAAATTACATGAAGAGGACAACTAGTCTAAGAGGGGAGGGAGGGCGGTGGAGGAGAGGAGACAGAGACAATTAAATCCTGTTCCAAGCTGGCTCCTAGCAGGTAGAAATTACTCTTTGCCAAGCAAACAGCAGTACAGGTCTCGGTTTACTTGAAGGGCAGGATATGGGCTGTGTTATCAAACCCAGCGGGCAGTTTACCACCCCGCTGTACCTATCTGGATGTAGCCATCTGGCATCCTGCGATACTTGACAGCTGTGCCTCTTCCCTCCTGCAAGGCTTCCTTATCTGACTGCAGGCTCTGCAGGAAGGAGAGGAGCTCTGCATAAGGCCAGTGGTAAGAGCCACCCAAAAGCCCCAGGCAACAGCAGCAACCCCGGAGCTGCCCTCACCGGCAGCTCTTGGCATCCCATCTGGCACCCCAAAGCCTCATGCCCCAAAACGAGAGGACATTTGCTGCCCTCATGCTGCTGCTTCCACTGCACCATCCTGGCTCCATCCCCTTCTCTGCAGCCATCCCACCCTCCTGAGCATCCCCTCTGCAGGCACGCATAGCTCCACAGCGACTGCTCAGGGCAGCATCCCCGCTCCCAAGGTGGTACCACACCAGGTGTGACCCCCCCAGCTCCCAGCCAGCACCTCTCAAAGGCACTCGAGTCTTGTAACAATCTTCCTGACAGCTTTAAGCAGTTCCCTTCTCTCAAACCTCTTTTACTTCCCACTCCACCCCCACCTCAACTCTCAACAAAACACTTACGTCAAACGGCAAAACCTCCACAGTCGTATTGAAGAGTTTGTCTTCTGGGTGCTCGATGTTCCCGCTGCGGAAGAAGAACCTGTGACAGAGACCAAAGCCATGGAAACCCACACTGAGCGAGGGGGAGGTCACAATGGCTTTCACCCCAACTGAACCACCAAACAGCTCAACCTAAAAGACACCTTCCCAAAAAGCCCATGGGCATGTGGTTTGGAAGGAAACCTGCACCAGATTAACTAAATTGTGGATTGCTCCCAGGTGCAGGAAAGTAAAGGGCTCTGGCAAATGTGGCCCCACCAAAAAAAGGGTCAAGTTATCCTCCTCCTGGAAGAGCACCACTCCCTCCTCCTGCGCAGCCAAGCAGGAAACCGGCAAGAAATTCAGTATGAGCCAGAAGAGCAAAAGGAAATTGTCTCTGCATGCTCCAGGCTGTCCCCAAGTCCCGCCCCCCGCTGACCCTCCCCAAGCACTGGCCTTTCGATGCGGAGCGGTTTGAAGAATCTGAATCTGATGAAGTCTCCGGCAGTGGGGGTGAAGGCCCAGAAGAAGTCCTCCCGCAGGTAAGCCTTCTCCAAGGTGAAGTGCTGGTAGGTTTTCAGGCTGGTGCTCACCTCCGCAGGAGGGTTGACGTGCTCTTTCCGCAGGGCCTGCTTGCCAAAGTCCTTGTCCTTGGTGGGTGAAAGCAAAAGGGCAGAAAAGGATCATGAGCTCCTCTCACCTGTGAGGAACAGGGGTGCCAACAACGAGGTTCCGCAAATTGACAGCTCTAAATTTGCACAGCATGGAAGGATGAGGGACGGGAGTGACCTGGGGAAGGCACCAGGCGGGGCAATGCACGGCTGGATCCCAGGACACAACTTCAGTGGCGGCACAGAGACGCACCACTGCTCTGCACTCTGATCCAGAACCAAAGAGCCTTTCATTGTCCAAGCATCCCTGAATGCGCGTCCCTGCCCCAGGAGCTCTGCAAACAGTCCTTACGCCTGAGGAGAAGGTGGCTGGGAGGTTGATAATAGCATAAAATGGCTGGATTACACGGCCTGACAGGTGCTGCGCTGCGATACAAACTGGATTACACCATCCATTTACCTGGGGACTGGACAGACAAGGACCGAGCACAGCCCAGGGGTGCGTGTCCGTGGGTCCTGTGCATAGAGCTGTGGGAAGCCTGATTTTGTTGATGTTTAAATACACACAAACAATTTAAGCTCTTAGACAGCAAGCTCCAGTTTACCTATCAGCAATCCCAGGAATAAGGAGTGGGGTGGGCAGGAAGTCAGCCCAACCCAGGAGTCATCTCTCCAGGGTTTTTCAGTAGATCTCATCTTTGAAATCACTTGCCCGGACTGTGGTTTGGCACTCAGGATGGGTGCCCAGGACCAGTACCAAGGCTTAAAAGCTTGCAGCGACTCTTGGTACATGTCACTGCCATTCTGAGAAGCAGGAGCCACGTGAGCTCACTGTAATTCAGAACAAAACACAACCACTGCGCAGAAATCCAGCTGCTACCATCCCACCAGTTGCTGTCACTGATGTCCCCACCCCAATGGCAGGCGGGGCCCATGTGCCTGCAGGCCAGGCCTGGCAGGAAGGCTGCCTGCGGCTTGGACAGGTGGCTGGCACCCACCTTCAGCTTCTGTATCTTCCCAGCCAAGGAGGAGTGGGTTCCCACGTGCTGGAAGAGCGAGGGCTTGAAGCGGATCCTCAGGTTTGCCTTTTGCCTGTCGCAGTGTTTCTGAAACGAGACAATCCCGCAGTACCCCATGCTTAAACCTCCGCGGTCAACTGTGAGACGAGCAGACAAGGGCATGAGGAGTGATAAAGATCTCCATGCCTTTCTGTGTTATTTTGGCTTTTATTTGACAAGAGGGCTTTTAACCGCGTTCTGTAGGAACGTGACCATGGCTCTTGGCCGGTCACCCACCGGGCTCTGCTGGGCAGCCAGGGTGCCCAGGTGTAAGCGTCAAATGTCTCCTTGCTTAGCACACGCTGAGCAAATCTCCTCTGGGTGCTGTCAGATAATTGTTTCTTTTTTCCTTGGCTTATCGGGAAAGCCTTTTTTCCTACAGCTCAGAGCTGGGGATCGCAGATGTCTGAAGGTACAGTAAGTCCTGGGATGATTCAGAGCCTAAGCCTACAGGTAGCAATTGCGGGCTCTTTTCAGACAGGCAGTTTCCAGGTTGTTGGTGGATTTTGTTAGGCAGATGGATGGCACGTGCTGCCGTCTGAGCTGGTTGACAGTTTCACACCCATCCCACCACATAAATAAACTTGGAGATACTACTCTGATCCAGCCAGTGATTTTCCATGCGGTGGAGGGAGAGAGATGATGGAGAAGGAATAAAGGACAAAGGGGAAAAACACTGAGAGTGTGGAGACAAGAACTCACGTTTAAAATCAGTTAATTTCTCTCAGTTTGGGGGAGCAGGACAAATATATAGGGTTAAAAAACAGAGGGAGAGGTCATTTGTTTTTCAAATTTTGCTTTTTCCAAGAAAAGAACCATACACACACCCCTGCCACCAGCTGCTCTTGCAACCTCCCACCCAAGAGCATCCCCAGCAGAAGTCCCGCTGCCGGGCGCTGCGTCACCGGCTGCCTGGCACCAGGCAGGGCACAGCGGGGAAAGCCGGCCGCACCGAGCCCCCGCGATGGGCTGCTCACACAGACCACTGCCACCCTGCTGGGAGCTGGGAGATTCCAGGCATGACCCCTGCGAGCTGCAGAGGAGATAATCCTCTAATCCAGCTCGCGTTACATTAGAAAATTAAAACTAGCCATGCTAATGGGAGAGATCTCATTGCCAGCAACCCCATCAGGTCTGCTCGTACGCTGGATGGGGAGAGGAGGAGGAAGGGGAACAGAGGGAGCTACAGCATCTCCTGATTTCTCTTTCTCCCCTTTTTCCCTTCTGCTAAAGAAGCATTTGCTGAAAGCAGCGTTGTCTCAGTCAAGCCAGGAGGGGGAATAGCTCAGTTGGTGGTAAGAAGGTCATCCTTTCACACAGCTCTACCCCAGGTAAATCTAAAATTAGTTAAAAAAGAAAGAGCAGAATATATCCAGAGCAGGCAAAGCACTTGCCAAAAGCTCAGGTCAAACAAACTTTCAATCAAAAAGACAAATCCTCCCCGCTATCAATTTGATTCTGCACAGTGGGATTTACAAGGGAAAGTCATGTTTGAAAGGGCGCTGCGCAGAGTTAATCATGCAAACAGTGGGGGAAAGGAGCCAGAAATCCACATGGAAAGTAGGTTAATTTTTAAAAAGGCAACACATTTAAGAGGTTTGCAGTTTCCCCTGGGAGAACCTTGGCTCTACCAGGTAGGAGAAGATGAGCGAAGATGAGCTAAGGAGAAGATGATCCTGCATAGCAGGATGTACATTTAATCAATGCTCAAGCTGAAAATTTTGGCAGTGGGGGAAAGGAGCCAGAAATCCACATGGAAAGTAGGTTAATTTTTAAAAAGGCAACACATTTAAGAGGTTTGCAGTTTCCCCTGGGAGAACCTTGGCTCTACCAGGTAGGAGAAGATGAGCGAAGATGAGCTAAGGAGAAGATGATCCTGCATAGCAGGATGTACATTTAATCAATGCTCAAGCTGAAAATTTTGGGGCATTCCAGCTTCATCTATGGCTGTGAGGACCCTGGGGGCTGCTGGACAGGCCCGGGGACTGCTCTGTCCCACCTGAGCACATGGTTTGAACTGCCAGGAGGACACGATGGACATCATCTGAGACTGGTCCTGCTGCACATGGGGGACTGGAGCCGCCATCACGGCCTCTGCCAGGGATCAGGCCAAATTAAACCACATCCTTGCCCCAATTCTGCAGAGCCCTGGGGATGCCCTGTCCACCCCCAACACATAAATACAGTATTTATCCCCAGAGTGACCACTTGTTCTGGTATTTGCCACCACAAAGTAGTTGTGGCCGTGATGTCTGTCCTAAGCGACTGGCTTCAAGCTCTGCACGGGGACTCCGCTGCTCATTCTCTGCTGGGGGAGCATATGAGTAAATACAGTATGTTCAGACAGGAGTCAGGAGAGTATCTGGTGGTGAGCTCATCTTACATTTACTGTCACACACACTCCTCCTCTGCCCTTCCCACTTGCTTTAGCCCCTCGCTGCCGCTGCCGATGGGAGGTCAAACACAACCTCCGCAGGGCACGGAGGCTTCATGCAGACACGGCTCCGCAAACGAGACAGCAGCATGAAAACGGAGCCCATTTCACCTCTCTGCACCCTCCTAGAAATCCTGACAAGAGCTTTGCGTGCTCTGGCTTTATTTTGGCACGCTACGCACAGTGGGCTTGCTCTTGGGTCATCTGGGGTGAGCTCTCTGGGCAGACTGCATGTGTGCTCCAGGCGGGCACGGCACACGAGCCCAGAGCCAACGGGTTATTCTGGGGTTATGGTCAGCGAGCGGGGAATGGCTGCAGGGAGAGAAGCACACTGGAATGAAAAACAACACAGAAAAATGGGGAACAGCGACTCTCCTCGAGGACTGGAGGAGGAATACCCTGTTAGTGCTTAGATGCAGAAATAATGCTTTTTCTGGCAGCTGCAGACTACAAAAGCCTGAACTCCCAGGTCATCGCTTACACAATCCGCAAGGACACCCCGCGGCGCGCTCCACAGGGACGGCACAGTTCGGTGCAAAGTCAGTTAGCACCAGAGCTCACAGAAAAGATCCTCTGGAGACACAGACCAAGAGCACATTTGCCCACACACCCCAGAGGTTGTTTACGTACTGCATCTTTCTCAGGGTTGCAGACTTTCACCCAAAGGATGTGATCCAGCAGCCAGTCAATGGGCTTGTCCTTATAGAACATCAGGATGAACTCCACGATCAAGCTCAGATCCAGAGACTTGAACATTTTTCCTACAGCACAAAGAGAGAAGAGAGGGCAGCTACAGTATGAAACGGTCAAGAATCAGAGCTGGGAAGAAAAAACTTGGGAGACTGGGCTGTGGAGACTGATGTGTCCATCTCTCTACGTAAAGGAAATAGCATGTAGCTCTGTTTTATGTAGCAGAACTGCTGGCATTGCTAATACAGTTCCGGATTTAATATTCATCACAGAATTAGAAAGCATTAGTGTCTCATAGGTCACAACACTATCAAAAGGTCTAAAACTCTTCCATCCAGCAGGGAAAAATAAGGATGAAAAACATTCAGCCAGCTGCAGGACAGACCATTTCCTGCCCCAAAACCGACAAGTTTTAAGCCAGTCAAACCAGTATCCAAAATAACAGATCAAGCTGCTACTGCAGCCATGTACTGCTGTTCCCAAAATAGTTCCGTGCTGATGTAAACTTCCTTTTACACACTCTTAGGCAACTCCAGATCCCATCCAGCCGAAAAGCTACTGGTCACGTCTAAGCTGTTCGGCTGTCAGCTGGGCCACCGACCAGGTTTATTTTTATTACAAGTGAGTATCAGCAGTACCAGCTGTGAGGATCTTTCTCCCCTGTGCAAATACAACGGTCATTGCAAAAATAGGGAGGGATTGAGTCCAAGTATTTTACCATCTCGTGGGGACAACTTGTTGACCCAAGAGCGTAAGTGCTTGCAAAAACCAGTAGGCACTTGCACCCGTGCCTGATGGGACTGGGGTGAGCAGGGGAGAACGTTACCAATAAAACCCAGCTGAGAAAACTCCAGGATCATCCACTCCTCGGAGGGCTGCTGCAAGGCAAAGTTCTTCATTGTGCTGAGATAGTTTGGTTTGGCCACAATATCATCCTCCAGCTGCAAAAGGAAAGGACACTCAGTGCCAATGACCCATCCAGGTTCCAGTAAGAGCCTCTCTGTGCGGACCAATCATGTCATAGAGTGGAGGAAAGCTTTGGCACAGACCTAGTTTATTTTGGAAGATGCTCCAAACAGATTTTTCTCACCCAATCTAACAGGTAAACGAAACAAGGATTCCTGCCCTCCCTAGGCAGGAGGTCTCCAAGTCTAAAACATCTTAGAAGCCTAGCTTTTGAACCTATCTGGTTAAAACCTGCTCCCGCTCTGCTCCATCATACAACTGGACATGCTCTTTGCCCTCTCTCAGGTGGGTACGAGCCACAGTGAACTCACAGGTACACCCACCTCCCCTCCACCCCTGGCACCAAACCCACCTGCACGTAATATATGCCTTTGGACTGGGCATACATCATCAAAAAGCAGTAGTCGAGGTTCTGCTTCGTCCTCCACCTGCAAAAGACAAACACAGTGGGAGCGCCGATCTCTCCTGGGATACCGGGCTGCTCGGGGGAGCTGGGTTTAAGCTGGGAAGGTGATGCAACTCTTGGAGGAGCGGATGGCATATGGCCTCTCCTTTTTGGTTTCAAACTGGTCAGTGAAAAGTTACTGGAAAACTGAGGGACTTCCAAAATGAACATGGTCTGGGTTAAAATGACCCCCTCGCTCGGTGAGGGGAACACGGCAGCGCAAGGCAAGCCCTGCAACGCTGGGGCCAGTTCGTACCCCCCCACACCACATCCCTCCAGCTCCTGTGTAAGGCAAGTCTAGGGGCCTTGCCTGGCCCTGCAGAAGAGCCTTCCCTGCTGCAGTTACTTAATTCAGGGCTTACTTGGTTTTAAGCTCGTTGATTCTTACCTGACTCTTTCCTTGGGGTCCCCAAAGGATTCCCGCAGGTGTGAGAAATCAGGATAGAAATGCGGAGACGGGGAAATTACCTCCAGGAGACCTGAGTGTATTTCCTTTGGGAATCTGAGGGAGAAAAGCAGCAGTAAACAAATACCTCCATGTCTGACACACCATTTCAAAGACCAAATCGCTGGGTAAACACTGAGCTGCAGAACCCAACAACAAAATACAGCCTCTAAGATAAAACTTCCCCAGCAGCTAGTGCACTTCCAGGCCTCACCAAAGAACATCAGCAGGGACTGCCACGGAGTTTGAAAGCTGCTCTCTCCCTCCCACGGTCTCTAATAGTCCCATGTTTGTGTGCTCCCCCCCGCCAGCATCCCTCCTCCCTTTCCCTGCACCCCCCCACCCCCGGGTCAGCTCTGAAGACCAGCTGGGAGCACCTCGTACTCCCTACAGGATTAAACGGACCTGCAGACTGACACGCCAAAGAAAGGACTTGCTGGCAATACTGGCACTTAGAGATATTCCAAATGCATCAGTAATTAAAAGTCATTTTGCAGAGATTATGTTATGCATTTCTGATAAGTCACTTAAAACATTGCTGTGCTGTAGTTAGGACAGCCAGAAGGAATTGCACCTAGTTTCCTTATGCTGATAAAATCAGCATCTATTTTCCCTATAATGCAGTTAAAGAACCCTTTAAAGAGTCAACCATCTCAAACAGAAAAAAAATGTCACTCTTCTGAAAAATATGTACCTACAACAGCCTTGCAAGCAATACCCAGAGATTATTGTAACTGCAAGAGATAAGCGGGAAAACCAGTTATTTTAACACTGCCCTTTTTGAGAACATTTGGTGCAAGCTTGATTTCCTTTGTTTGTGCAGAGCCAGGAGGACGGGAGATGGGGCAGAGGGAGATAAAGCAGTGAGAATGCCAAAAACTTCTCAGTTATTTTTCCTTTCCTTATTCCCTCCTTGCGACTGGCAAGATTTTCAGCTAACATTTTCAAATCTTCCCCTCCTCAGGCAGCAGTGAAACAGAAGCTTCTCATTCAGCTGACAAAACCTGTACCGAAGCAACAACAGCTTTCTCCCTCCTGCCATATGATCTCAGCCTGCCCTGGCCCCACATCACCTCAATTTAATTTGGAAGAAAAATAATTTCAGTGAATCAGGGAAGGGCAGGAGGCAATGGGGGGGAGGACAGCGAGAAATCAAATCATTAAGTCAATTAAAGTTTCAGGCCTTCTATGCAGAAGCACCCTCTGCAGCAGCGCCCAGTAATTTCATCAGGATCCGTCGGACAATCAGTCCATTATTCCTCGATAAGTGCGTCCTCCTGCCAGCAGGCAGCGGGAGGGGAGCTCTGCCAGCTCCTGCACAGCAAGATGGAGGGCTCTGTTTCAGCTCTTCTGCAAGTGCCCGGGAACACAACCTTCCCCGCACACGTCCCAGCCCCTCTCCCATCATTGGCTCGGGGACGCGGGGTGCCGGGAGGATGCACTGCCCTTTTGCGTCTCCTTCTTATGGCGACTGCGATCCTTTCGAAACATGCAATTGCAGGAGCCTGGACCGGTTCACGGTTAATAATCCGTCACCGGCTTCTGCCTAAACAGCCACAGATAAAGCTGCAAAAGCCACTAAAACTCCAGGACATAAATAGCAGCTAGCATGAGAGACAAATGTAACTAGCGCCTAGAACAAGGGAAAAACAAACAGGCTGGAGCGGGAGGAAAAATGGATGATGGATTTTAAAGCAAAATAAGGCAGGAGCATCAGGGTGTGCTTACCACACTGCCCAGTTGCTCTGACTCGGCAGAGCAGGTAGAGGGCTGCACTAGACACAGAAACAATTGCCAGGATCACTGGAGATCTAAATAATCCATCTTCTCGCAATGCCACAGGACAGAAAGCAAAATGAAATAGCATGACTGCGTCTGTTAAATACTGAAAGCACAAAGCAGCCTAATGGAAGAACAAGCAGAAAGCGGAAGCAACAATAGCAAAGACAGCCCAGAGTTTAAGAACAGGAAAAAAACCCCAAACAACAAAAAAAATACAAAAGGGAAGCATAAAAGCATGTATTTTCTCCTTAATGAAGCCGTTCCCTGGCCTCGCTACGGGCACAGACCGTACCGCTGTAGTCATTTGGAAGTGCTTACAAGTTTTTTATATTTTCTGCCACTCCGGCTGTGTATTGCGGATCCGTCTGAAAACAAAAGATAAGCAGTGTTAGATCCTTCAGCCTCAGCCTGTGCCCCCCCGGCTCAGAAATCACCTTCAGCACACCCCAGGAGTACTGTCAGCACCTCTGTACCATCCTCGTGTCTCCTACCCAGTTTAACCGCTCTCCCCATGCTGATGGTCTCCTAGGAGCCCTCCTTTGCAGCCAGTGTTAACCAAAGGCATCACACCCCAAAAACCACCCCAAAGGCTGCACATCTTCCCCACGTGCTCTCCTGGCACTTCTGCCCCTGCCAGCACCACGTGGCTGCACAAAGTGTTAACTTCTGGGCTATTTATTTTTTTCCCCTATACACGCTGACTTTCATCCAAGTGAATACTCTTGGTGGAAAAGGATCTCCACCCCTTTTCAGAAAAAGAGGGGTCTATTTATAAGCATGCATTTTTCATTTCAGGTTCATTTTGATGCTTTTCTTCCTAAAAACAACAGTTTGTTCCCACAATCAACCTGGCAACCTGTAAGAGATGGGAGGCAAAGGTCAGCAGCGCCGCACGCCGCTATCTGCAGACGAGATAAGTGCAAACACAGGGACAGGCACCGGACAGAAACCATCTGCACAGTGACTGGGAAAACAAAATCCAAGAACAAAGGGCAGGAGACCCAGGAGCAAACACTGCGCCTGTTTCCTGGTGGCTGTATTGTTTTGGCAGGTTGTACGGATCACGGGACTGTGCGTCCCAGGCGGAGCTGCAGACGCAGCATCACAGAAGCAGGGACCGGCACGCCGGGCGGAGGTGAGGAGTGAGACGCTGGGGATGTGTGTCACAAGCTGAAGACAGCGCTTCCACACTGGAATGGTGACAAGGGAGGGTTTTCTCAAGAGGAAGAAGGTCCCTTTCCCAAACAGGGCTCAGGCTCCCAGAGCTGGACCGATTTCTTACCCCAGCGCTGCCAAGAAAACAGCAATGGGAAAAACAAAGGCAGGAAAGCTGCTCCTGGTTTTGGGAGCAAACATGCAGCCTGGCTGCCACCAAACCAGCAGGCTGGCAACAGCCAAGCCCGCCAGCTCGCCCCGGGGCTCCCGGCTCCCCCAAGCAGCCCAGCCGCTGTGGATGACACCGGCGGTGGTTAGTGGTGGCACTTGGAATGAGAAATCCCCATCCCAAAAATAACATTCAGTTGCTCCACTTGTTGTCCTCCAAACTACCCAGAGTCTGCTCCAGGTTCCTACCACCCTCTCCGCTATTTACTCCTTATCCTGTGCCTGAGGAGCCCCAGCGAGCAACGCCAAGTGCAGGTTCATCGAGAAACACTTGGTCTGGGAAGAGGCAGAGCAGGCACGGTGGTGGTTGACGCTTGCACGGAAGGAGGATGTTGTGTCAGCAAGAAAGAACAGTGACAGTGGTGATCTGCAACAACCACCATCGCTGTTACTGCGATATGATGCGTGTGCTCCTGCACTTCACGGGATCAGAATTAATTTCTCTGCTGTTCACTTCCCTTGTCACAGGTAACACAGAAAGTCAGGTGCTGCCGTCACAGCGTGCACCCTGTTTTCAAGTCAACTAAAACCAAAATAAATTACTGCAGTCCTAAACAGGAGATGTTTTTGGTGAAGTTGCTTAAAACCTCTCACGGTTTAACTCACCCACTGTCAAAACAGTCATCAAACCTGTCCTGGCTCAAAGGGAAACGACAGCCAGGACTGAATCTTGTCCCGGGCACTTTGGGCTGCACCCATCTGTGCACACCTTCTTGTACGAAATACCAGCCAGAGACCCGAAGTCCAAATGCTACTCAAAATATCAAATTATGGGTAAACAGGCAGCAAACCCAGACATTTATCTTTGTTCCGCTCCCAGTAACATGCCACCAAGGTTTATCTTTCTCACCAGATTTCTAGAAATTAAGACAAATGCACTTCAAGCTCAAGAAAATAATCCTGAGGGGAAAGCCATGGAGAAAAATAACCATCTAAACCCATAGATAAAAGCAGCTCTTGCGGATTAATGTATCAAGGCTTTTTAGCCCCTGGATTCAGCAACTGATTCTGGGCTCCAGACACCAGTACGAAGAGGCATCATATTAGCCTCAGCCCCAAATCAGCAGGGTCTTGGGTTTGGAGAAGGGTTCAGAGCTGTCTTATGGGTACGCGGAGAAACCAAGCTGCTTCAGGAGCGGGTCGGGGAGCTGCCCCAGATGTGACCATGGGGCTGCTCCAGCACGTTTTGGGAACAACCACTCAAGCGCCCTGCAAGCGCCATCACGATTGAGACCAGCAAGACAAAAGCACGTGCTGCGCTGGCAGCTGCTGCTGTTTGCCTGCTCGCGTCCTGACCCTCTCTGCCCCCATCGGTGCTTCGCTTTGGGCAGGACGCACCCAATGATCCTGGTCGGACGGCAGCCCAAGGCTGGGCTTATCTGCCCAGAGACAAGTTTGGCAGACAGTGGGATGGGAGTCAGGGAAATGGGATGAACAGGGAAATCAGATAAACAGGCAAAGCTCTGTCTTACCTCGGCGATGAGGACGACGATGACGGAGTCCTCCTTCTCCTGCTGAGTGAGCTCTGAGATGAGGGAGTTGAGGGTATCGGTGAGGTAGGAATGCACCTCCCGCTTCACGCTGGGGATACCCATCACAACGGACACTGCCCAGGGCCAAGGAGAGATTTTAGAGAGGGGGATGTGCTGGGACAAGACACTTCACTCCCATGACCGCCTCATGGTTCATCTGCTCCGTGCCACGCTCCGTCATTAAAAACCAGCAGTGATCAGCAGGTTGGCAGGTTCCTGGGCTACGTAGGGCTCCCATACTCCTGTCCCCCAGCCCAGTACCGACCAGCAGCACCCCAGTGCACCAGGCTGGCAGGGCACCCATGGCCATCAGGTAGACTAACTCTTTTCTTCCCGAAAGACTGATGCCTACGGAAACATCCAAACTCCCTCCTAGGGACCTTTTCAGCCTGTGAACATAAACTACAAGAGCACCCTTGCTCTCCAAACCCCTCCCATGGCCACAAGTACATCAGTTTAGGAGGGATAAGTCAGGTCTTTGGCTTTGGGTTGGGACATGGGAGCAGGGGAGAATCATCTAGTACCCAAAGTCCTACTCCAGATGGGTTTTGTCCCCTAAGACCAGTACAGAGCCTTCGTGAAGTACCCTGCAAACTGTGCTTTCATCTGACCACCTTCCAGGCAAAGCCTAGAGTACTCTGGAGATGGAAAGCAGCAAAAAACATCTGGCAGAAGCATCAGGAACATTTTAGTGCCAGTCAAGAGCACAGACAGCACTCCCCCAGACTCGCAGATGTGACAAGGCTTACCCACCCCGCGTGCCACGATACCAAGGAAGCTTGCATGATGCATGCAGCCGTTCCTCCAGTTCTGCTCATCTCCATACCACAGCCAGGCCCAAAGGAAAGGGGAGGGACAGGCACTAAGGTGAGGAAGAGCACCAGAAGCAGCACTAATTCCCATTTACCTCCAGTGCGCCCCTGTCCCACATGCACGGCTGGCTGCAGACTGTTCTCCTTTGACAGCAAATGTGGCAAATGATGGAAGATGGTGGGAAGGTGCAGCACATTCTTGTTGGTGATATTCCACAGTTTTAACTTGGTTTCGTCTTAAAAAGGAAAAGGGAATCAATTGCAAGGAACGGTAGGTAGGAAGAGACTGCAAGGCGAAAAGCCTTTTTAGAGCAGCCTGGCCACCCGAGACTACTGCTGGGTTATAAAAAAGCGGGCCAACCTTTAACATGCTACCACAAAAAGCAGGAGCCATGAGGGCCTTAAAGAAGTCCCAAAATATTTGGGAAGGAGGGGGGGGAGTATGAAGATAACATGGAGGTCAAATCGGATCTTTCTGTAGAGATCCAATTTTCTTCAACTGAGCAACTTAAAAAAAAAAAGAACAAATAAATTGGTGAGGGGTGCTCAGCCAACCTAACTCCTTCCTCCCCCTCTCTCTAGATACCCATTTTCCATATGGATTCAATACAGCCATAGGAAACGGCACGTATGACTTGCAAGAAAAAAAAAAAAAGCAGTTTGTAAGCAAGCAAATTGGCAAATATCTGCGGCAGAGGCAAATCTCAGCGTTTAATGATGCATGTGCACCTCTAATTAAACAGGAGTTTAAGAGTTCCCAAGTCCCTCTGAACTCCACAATTTCCTCAGGCTGGGGGAGAGAAGAGCACGTCCTGTCCGCAGCCCTGCGTACACGCACACACACGCACACCTCTCTACCTCCTCATTAGCAACAGCTTCAAAACAGCCCGAGATCCTCAACTTCTCTGTTTATTCACCAGATAAGCTGCTCCAGGTCCGGTTTATATCCCGCAGGGCCTGCTTCTCCGAGATCGCTCTCTTGATCTCCTCCAGGACCAGGTTGAGTTCCTTCGAGCGCTTCAAGCTCTCCTGCTCGGCTGCATGCAGTCGGTCTCGGAGAGCGAGAAATTCCCGCTGGTAGATGTCCACAACGTCACCTGAGGATGGAAAAGAGAGAGAAGCTTTCTCCTCCGCGCTCTGAAGGGTTTTAAGTCGCAAAAGCAATGCCCATGACTTGTAACTCTGCAATCCTTAAAACGTAGATTTAGGGAGCTGCGGTCCAGCACGCACCCATCAGTTGTGTTGGAGAGAGGGCAGTTCAAGTTGCAGAACTACAATTAAACAGCTCCTTTCATTTTTCTCTTTAACTTGGGTTTTCAGGTCATGTAGAAATATGACCTCGTTTTCTGTGCAAAAAATAAGTTGCATGGTAGTTCTTCTTCACTACATACTTAGAAAAGGGGAGTCTGTTGTTGGCATTAATTTTATAAGCAATATTCTGCATCTCTCTGCAGCTCCAGAACTTTGAGCGCGTGAGACAGCAACTGCTGGAGCAAGCAGCAAGGAACCAGAGTCAAGTGAAAAAGAACTGAAAGCACTGATGGTGATGACCTGTTAAAGCCATGACAAGCCCAAGGAATATCAATATTTCTAAGTGTCTTGCTCCTTGCTTTGGTTCCTCTATGGCACACAAAGGAAAGAGTCTTAAGAGCACAGGTGGAAGGGTGTTTGAGTGGGTAATTTGGGAGAACCCCCAGACAGCACCTCGAAGGCTTTCTCCAGATGGCAGGGGGCATCTCCCAGACGACCCTGAGTGATGGAAAACGAGATGCTGGCAAGGCGGACACCACCCTGCAGCGAGACAAGGGCGGGCACGGCACCTCCTCCAGCTTCGGAAGAGAGTCCCCAACGACCAAAAGGGATTTGGGGAATCTAAGCTCTCCGAAACAAGGCAGGATAAAGAATATCACATGGCAATAGCTGCCTGAATGCTTATATAAATGCAAGTGTTTGGATACACACCTAAGGATGCATCATAAATGTAATATATTAAAAAGAAACTTTTGATAGGGTAATAATGCTTTTTATTTTGAAACAATATCACCATGCCCTTTTTAAGCAACAAAACTACGGAGAGTTGTCAGCTGGAACTAACTATACAATAGCTGGGAGTGGAATCGGTTATCCATTAATGAACTTTCCTGGGTAATTTTTTACGCCATTATTAATGAAACTACTAATTAAAAATACACTTTTACCTGTGGTCACTGAGTGTGTTTTCAGTAAGGCTATAACCCACAGGACTACACCCAAACCAGGTTTATCCACTGAACAGTAGACACTTAGCCCAAACACAACCAGGAGAGCTAATGACCAAAAATACTGCACTGGAACTTCCCAACACAGGGCTAAATATAAATCAGAGCCATTGAAAAAAGATACACTGACTGCATCGACAACTTCTAATTTGGGGTCCATAAAGAAAAAGGAATTTTGAAGATCAGACATACCCAGCTCCAAAGCACAGAGTTTCCAAGACAACAGTGCTTCCCAGTGCAGCTCCCATCAATGCTTTTGCCTAGGAAAAGTTTCCCCCATGGGGTCTCTTCTCCCCAGAAAAACGTTCTTAAGGACTCACTGCTTCAACACAAGGGACCCCCCCCCCACCCCCGAGGCAGTCTGACTCCTATTAACCTTTCAGCATTATTTTCAAAGCCACTGGCACATGGGGAGGGAGCAGAGGAAGTTACACCCACTTGATTACTCCATCCATCTGACAACACGTTATTCTGAGAAAGTCAAGGCAAAGACATAAACAACACCAGTCCTTCCTTTTTCCTGTGTGGTGCTGCTCACTTTCCACTCCCATCGAGAAAACATTTAAAAATTTGCAGAAAAACAGGTTAACACCCAGCTTAGGGAGCTGCCATGGGAATTCACAGGAGGATATCAGGCTTCAGATTGACTCCACGATGAGCTAGGCCTTTACCTGCTGGTACCTCTCAGACATAAGAATATACCTTTCAGCTTCCCAGTACTCCAGATTATAGGTTTTCCTACTTGTACCTTTTACCAGCTGCATCTGTGAACACCAGGAAGGAACAAGTCTCACTTTCTGTTTTTTGCACGACGCAATGGCAGGAACCGTGCTTGTGCAAGGCTGGAAGCATTTGGCTCTCGGCATAGCGGGGGGTTGCTATCCCGTGGATGCTATCAAAGCCCAATCGTGGCTAAAGGCTGCCGTTAGGTCTTGTTCTGCAACAGCTGGAGCAGAGTAAAGGCAAGGCTTTGCACTTAATGGCTTTTCCCAGAGCACTGCACTTCGTTTGTGTCAGATTTAGAAGGGAAATGTCACTGATTATTCAGTCACTAATGACCTGCCCGCTGAAGCCAAGAGCTGTACTTTTCATTAGACTGCAATGGTGATGTGCAGTCAACCATTTGCTGCTTTTCTGGCTAATGGTTGGAAGTGAAATTGTGTTTGTTTCCAGTGCTCTTGTCCTATGATGTCTTTGTAGGCTTTCCATTCTTTAATTAAAATTTCATGAAATTTAAAAGCTGATCGATCGTGACAGGTTCCGGTGACAGCTTGAACCATCCGAGACAAAGCCCAGGATGGGCGTACAGTTTCCCATGAATCTCCAGCAATGCCATTTTGCGCTCCTCGGTCTGCAATGACACATGGATGCAGAGCTGCCGCCCTCGCAGCAGCCCTCAGCTGCCCAGCCGGGGGGGCTCTGAAAAGCCACGAAGGGCAGCAGGGGATAAGGGACGGGGGGTGTGTGTGTGTGTGCAGAAATTGGCTCCCACCTCTACAAGCAAGGTTGGACACAGAAGTGATTTGCTGCTAATTAGGCTGAACAAATTTTTCAGCTAGCGTCAGTTCAGCACAGACCCTTTACTTACCTTTCAAAGCAGCAGCACTCCCTATCTACATATTTATTGTATTCCCTCCCAGCAGAAGATAGCGGAGCTCTTAAAATATCCCCAGACTCAAGCATTGACAAAAACTCCTAGCTGTAACTATATTAAAAAAAGACTCAGCTTACTTTTTCTTGAGATATAACACATTGCTTCGGGCTTAAAATACACTGGTTTAATAAAGAAAGAAAGTCGGTGTTAGGTGACGGTTTGCAGGACAGATGTGGGAGACCAAAAACCTCTCAAATGAGACTTGCAGTACTTGCAGCACACGTTGTGCATACCCAGCGCCCTGCAAACAGCACGTTTCACACCTTGACATGCCTAATATTTGCACTCAACGGTCTTTTGCAAGCTGTCTTTAGAAACAGGCTGGCTTTAAGGCTCCAAGCGTGCAGCGAGCAGCTTCATGCGAGCCGGGTCTCTGCAGGCCAGAGAAGGCAGCGCTGGGCACAGCTGAGCGCCGGCTGCCATCTGTCCATCCCGGCGCTCACCGGAGCAGATCTGGGGG